GAAAGTTTGGTTTTCTCTATAGGCCACGAGAGAGCCTTGATTGAAGACGCTGTTCTGTCTGAAGAGTATTTAAGGATTCCAATAAAACATACATCCCTCAGATTCTGTCTGTTTTTTTGGTTCTGACAGCAATTGTCTTAAAGTAACGGAAAGAATCAGCACAAATTAGGTCATATTTTTGAAATGGGTTTCTCATAAAAGAGCCATTGTCTTGTGGACAGTTGTGGGTCTTTTGAGGGGTTTCCTGTGAATAATGATCTTAAATGTAGGGCCTCAGCTTCAGCCCTTTGAGGAAAGCAAATTGATTTTTGTAGAAGAGTATATTGGGGAGGATGGGTTGGGTTTAGAAATTCCTGCTATCAAGAAAAGGGAGTGATTAATCAGTGAATTAAATTCTTAGGAAGTAGTGTATATTCTGAAGAATTAATATCAATTGATGCAAAAGTTGAGGTAAAGGGCTTCTCTTAGGCCTCACGTTTTTTTTAGAAAATGTTGCTAGCCACTTGGCCAAATCTAGACCTGTGACTCCTTGAGGCTATGCAAGGGTATAAAGTACTATGAGGTTTGATCTGAGCTCTACTAAGATCCCTTGTGGAAATGAGGGGACAGACAATGTAAGGGAGATACAACTTGCAGGATTTCTGGGCTTGGATCTCTGAACTAAGTGGATTAAATGATAGTTCAGCGCACTAAAAAGGCAGAGGTAAGGAGTACCCAAGTACACCCACCATTTCAATTTGAAACGTGACTTTCAAAGTGCAAGGTCAGATTCGCTGTCCCTTCAGGGTTCTGTGGGCCCAGACCCGTCCCCTGCTGCCGTCTAGTGGTCGCACTGGAGGCTGCAAGAACACTGATCTCACCATTTTGAAATCCATGAAGGCCATTTGCTGGGATGTGGTTCTCGGCTAATGACTGTTTACAAACCAGCTGGGGCTTTTGTCCTGAGGAGGAGCCTGCATCTATAAGCTCCACCCCTGAGGCATTCAAATTGGGTAGAAGCTGGGCGGGAACAAACATCCCAATTGAGAGGCCCTTGGGGGCTTAAGGTTGGGGAGGGGCCTTGGGAGAGGCGCCAGGGGTGGGGCAGGGGCCTCTAAGTTTCCTCCCATCTGCCTATGACGTCCTTGGCACCAGTCTCTCCTGTGTCATGATCTGGACAGAAGGTGGAGCCTCTGAGCCGCCTGTGCCAGGTAGTTTGCTCCCAGAAAAGCTGGGATTGGGGGAAATGCTGAATTATGGGGGCGGGGGCGCTTCCTCTAGGGCCTAACTGGAATGCGTAAGAAGCTGGAGCAGTAGTGCCCTGGGTATAGACCAGCTCTTTCTGTTTTCTCGTGTCACCAAGAAGCAGACCTGCCAACTGTGATCCTAAAGGTCGTTTGCATCCCTCCACGCCCCTCCCCCCCGTTTACGTCTCTCAGCACTAACATTCATCGAGAACCTTCTCACTGGCTGCAACTACTAATTTCCTTCCCTCTTTACCACTCTCCTGCCACGCCACTGGAGTGTCAACACAGATCTAACCTTCCTCCATATTTCTCCTGGTTCGGCCCTGTCCTCGCCTCCTCCTCCCTCTCCACCCAGAGAAAGCCCCGCCCTTCCCTCCTCCCTCCCCACCCCAGTCTGTCACACAGGGACATCACCCTACAGCAGTTCAGGCTGTGGTTCGCAGGAAGCATACATTGGCTTTTTGATTCGTGCTAGTTCCCAGCTCATAATTTGGGAGGATCTAACACCAGGCTTCACGTGAAGGGGGAACCAAGGACAGCGAGGTGCTGGGTGGTCCCAGCCCTGGAGCCCCGCCAGCCTGACATGGGTAAGTATGAGGACCAGCCCCCGGGGAAGGCCTGAGGGATACCTCTCTCCCTCCCTTCCAGGCTGACTCAGCAGGGGTGGGGCCTAACCTTTGCTCTTTTGGGGGGTGAAGGAGGGGGAAACAGGATGGTCGGGGCTCTGGGCTCAGCTGGTGAGGCTGCCGCCTGAGGGGTCACAAGCACTGGCCAGCTCTTAGGAAGGGCCCGAGACTCTACCCTCAAGTATGGGCTCTTCCCCCAACCCCCACCCCAGCCCCTTAAGCAGCTCCCCACTTCAGCTGCGGCGATCCCAGTAACACTGCCGTCCGGGCGGGCGTCCCTGCAAGGGGAGAGCCCACTTTCGGTGGCCTTGGAGGGCTCTGAAGGAGCCGCTTCTCCCCAGTTTTCTCCCGGGCCTTTCAAGTCCCTTGTCTTCTCTCCTCCCCCACCCTGACCCACCACCAGGTGGGGGCTGCACCGAGCAGCTGCTTCCTGTTGCCCCAGAGGTTGCTGCAAGGGTGGTGGTGGCTGGGGGAGAGCTGAACCCGAGTCGAGCGACTCTCGCCGTCCCGCAGCAGCCCCGCCGGGAAGGCTGGCGGCGGCCCCCGCCCCCCGGCCGCGAGGACGCCGCACGGGGCAGGGCTGGGGCCGAGGGCCCGGGAGGTCTCCGGCCTCGTGGCTTCCTTGAAACTTAGCGCGGGCCGGGGAGGCTGCGCCCTCCCGCAGGGCCCCCGAGGGGATGCGGCCCCGCGGCGCCGAGACGCAGGTAACCCGCTCCCCGGGGGGCGCTGCACGTTGCCCCCCTGCGAGCTCGGCCTCGCGCCCCCTCTCGCACCCCGCGGCTCCGGGCCGTCGCGGCGGCTCCCACGGCCTCCCCGGCGCTCTTTGTGAGGCGGCCTCCCCGACGCCCCGGGGCGCGGGCCCTCCGCGCCGACCCCTTCCCCGCGGAAGTTTCCGCCCCCCGGGACGGCGCTCGCCCCGTCGGGGCGCCCGCCCGGCCCGCGCCCCCCGGAGACGCCGCCGCCCCCGCCCCCGCGGGCCCCGGCGGCCGCGCGCCCGCCCGGCCGCCCTCGCCCGCGGCTCCTGCCCCTTTAAGCGCGTCTCCCCGCCCCCCCGCGGCCGGGCTGGGGGAGGAGGCGCCGCCGCCCGGCTCGGCCACCTGCGCCGCCGCCGCCGCCCGCGGCCGGCCCTGCTCCAGGTGAGCCCGGCCCGCCCCGGCCCGGAGCCCCGGCGGCCGCCCCCGCCCCCCGCCCCGCCGCGGCCGGGCCCCCCCGCGGAGCGCCCCCTCCCCGCGCGCCGCGTCCCCCCGACCTCTGCGGCGGGGCCCGGGGCTGCGCCGCCGCGGCCGGCCTCTCCCGCGCCCCCCGTCCCGGGCCCGGCGCCCCCGCGCCCCCGCGCCCCCCGCGCCGGGGCAGGCTCTCCCGCGCCGGGCTTCGCCCCCGGCCCCCCCCCCCCCCGGCGCCGGCGCTTTCCCACGCCGCCCTCACCCGCCGGGCGGGAGCAACCGCCGCGCCGGCCCCGGCCGCCCCCGCCGAGGCCGCCCCGGGATCGAGTTCAACTAAGTTCCCCCGAAAGCTCCGTGGCCCGCACCCCACCTCTCCCGAGTGTGCGGGGCGCCCCGGCCCCCGCCCGCCGAGTCCGGGTGGGCGAGGCCTCCTCCCGGCCGGGGCGAGCCGGGCGGCCGCGGAGCGCCCCTCCCCCCGGAGTCAGAAAACTGGGGAGAGCCGCCCAGAATCCTGTGATTCCGGGCGTCAGAGGCTGTTGGCGGGCGGGGCGCGCTCGGGCCCGAGTCTGCGGTGGCGGGGAAGCGTGGGAAAGTCGGCCCTCGCGACTCCGGGGCGCACGGCGCCCCCACTCCTGAAGAAGTTGGGGCGTCCTCCATGTCCTCTGGAGACCGCCTTGGGGCGCTCTGGGCGGCGTGTGGCGCTGGACTGAGCTGTGCCCTCAGGGGACGCACGGCGGTCTGGAGAGAGGGGGGCTGTGATGTGCTCCAAGAAAACCTGGTCTCCCCAAAATGTAGGGGGGAGGAGACAGCTGCCCCGAGCTGGCGCGGGCTGCGCCGCAGGGGGCCCAGCGTCCAGGGCCGTCTCCTTGTCGGCCCGCGTAACGGTAGGAACGTGCTGCCGCGGAGGGGCAGGGAGTCTTCCACAGTCACCCACCCCCACGGGAAATCCCCCTCCCTCCGGCTCCAGGGGCACCCCTGGCTCTGCCCCCCGTGCGCTCGTGCTCACCCCCACTCCAGAATCGATGCACAGGAGTGTCTGGATTTGCTGCAACGCTCCTGAGTCTTGTTCTAGGGGCTGGGAAGGAGCTGGGCGTGGGGGGGGCACTGGGTGGTCGGCCTGGTTTTCGGGGTTGAAATCCGGGCGTCTCTGGAGGAGGAGAGGGAGGGAGGGAGGGGGACGGAAGCGCGGAATCCCCGTCTCCCTCCCAGCCCGAGTCCTCTGCTCCAGGGTGGAGTCAGGCTGGGGGGGGGGGCTGCAGACCCCTCTGGAACACAGGGGGTGGGAAGGGGAGCAGGGACTAGTTTCCTCCCCTGAACCTGAGCCTGAAGGAGACTCAGATGTTCCCTAGGGGCTCTTCTCCCAAGTTTCTGGAAGAAGCGACCATTTGCCCCTTTGGCCACATCTGATGGGCCTGAGGGATGTTTGGGGACACAGGGGGTCAGTCTGGATGGGGTGAGCAGCACAGCTGCTGCCTGGGGTGGCCCCTGGCGAGAAGTAAACACCCCGCTGTCGGGCATAGGCGCCCCACCCTCGTCCTTCCTCACACGGCGAGGGCGACCCGCGATTAGACGGGGTGAGGCGGGTCTCGGTCTTGCTGATGGTCTCAGTCTCTGCACCAGGTGGGGAGATCGGCTCCCGGCCCACTTCTCTTCTGGCCCCCGTGGCCCGCCGCTCTCCTCCGCCCTCTTCCCAGCCGCTCCCGACCGAGCCACTCCGAGGGGTTGCCCCGGAGACTAGGCCCGGGGCTCGGAAGGGGTGGGGGCCGCCAGTGGGGCACAGGAGTAACCGGCTCTTCCGGAGCGGCGCGGAGCCGGGGGGTGTGTGTGGGTGTGTGCGGGGGGCGGGCCGCGCCCGTCTGACGGGCGCAGGCTCCGCCCCGGCCCGGGCTCCGACTGGCCCGTCTCGGGCTTGGGGGCGGGCGGTAGAAGATTCTCCCTCCTCTGCCCTGGAAAAGGAAAGGGGCGGGGGGCGGAGATCGCAGGCTCCTCTCCGGCCCTTCGGGAGCCAGGGTCGGGCCTTGAGCTCTTCACCAGCCTTTAATTTTGTTTTGGATGGGGCAGGAGGGGTCGAGGGCATTTCTTAGCAAAAGTTTGCTAGGTCCTGCTTTCCCCAGAAGGATGGACCCCTCTGGGGGGGGGACCCCCTGTTAGGACCTGTTAGGGTCTTTACTTTTTTCTTCAAGATGACCTATGACTCTGCTTTTAGTCAGAGAGAAGGGTTTTGATTTCTCTCTGCCTACGCCGTCCCTCTGGTAATCTACTTTCATTAGGGGAGGGATAGAAATCCCTCTGACTTACCCTCTTTTTCTAACCCACACACTTTAGGCTTTGATGAAGCTTGCTTTTTCTTAGTTTCTCTCAACCGTCATGGGGAGAAGTGGAGCCTCCCAAACCTGGGCAGAGCCCACTCCTCAGGGGTGTAAGGAAATCTGGTCTACACTGATGGTGTTTGGCCCTGCCCTGCTTTGCCCTGTCCCCACCCAGTTTTCAGATATCTTTCCTGCCAGGACCCCCAGAGGAAAAGGTATTTAAATGTTGACCTCCAGCCTGCCAGAGTTTCATCATCCCCACTCTGTTACTCTTCCAGAATACTCAGCCTGGGTTTTGCATAGTTTAGGAATTGCAGAACTGCATCACATTGCATTGAGTTAAGTGGGCAGTCATTTTAAAGCCTAGTTTCTAGTCACATTTTATCTGCTGTTTGACCTTGAACAAGTCGCGTCACCTCTCTGAGCCTTAAATTCTTCATCCGACAAATGAGAGACGGTTGAACTAGAGATTCTCTAAATTCTGAGGTCATATGACACTGTCCTGCTTCCCGGGGCCCTGCAATGGACATTTTAGATGACAGCCAAGCTCGAGACCTCGCTGGAGCTTCCTTTCCTCTTCGCAGATTGCGCCACAGTTTTATCAGAAGTATTTCAACTAAGAAAGCAGGTGGACACTCGGGGTCCTTTACGCCCCCCTCGCCCCCGGCCCTGCTGACCAGGCTTAGGGCGGACTCGGGTCTTCCCCGTCTGAGCCCCGCGCCACTCGAGCCTCCTTTCCCCGCCCCCGCGCAGGAATCTTCCCGACTCCCAGGGCCTGGCAGATGTCGCCGGGGAGGTGGTGATCCGGCAGCCCCTCGGGACGGAGGTGAGTGGGCCGCAGACGCGGCAGGTCTCCCCTCCTTCCCTGCACCCCTTGCCAAGGCCGAACTTCTCCGACGAGCCGTTCTGCTTCCACACGTGGTTTCCCACCGCCCGGCCTGGAAAATAGTCGCCCGAAACGACTCCCCTCCCGCCCCGCTCCCCTTGCCCCCCGCCCTCCTCCCTCTCACCCCCTTGGGGAGCGGGCGCCCGCCGCGGCCGGGAGGGGCGGCCCAGCCTTGCAGGTTAACCTTGGGGCGGCGCCACGCCCTCGGCGCGCTCGGGGACCGGGCCCGCCGCCCACAATGGGCTCGAGCGCAGGACGCGGCCCCGCGGGCCGGGCGCGCGGCGGCGCTAGGACCCAGATCCGGGGCGCGGGGCCCGGCGCTAGGACCCGGCGGCGCGGGCCCGGGAGGGCGGCTTCCCCGGCCGGGCTTCCCCGCCCCCTCCGGCTTCGGCTCCCTCCTCCCCCGCCGGCCATGTTGGCTCCGCTCGGGCCCCGCGGATGAGCCGCGTCCCCCTCCCCCCTCCCGGACCCCAGACCCCGTCCCCCGCGGCCCCCGCCCCCGGCGCCCGGAGCGCGGCCATGTGAACTGCGCGTCTGCCGGGGAGACCGGCCCCGAGCCCGGCCGGACGCCGCCGCCTCAGGTCTGTGGGCCCGCGGCCGGGCCCGAGGGGGGAGCCCGCGCCCCGCCGACGCGTCCCTCGGGGAAGAGTCGCGCCGCGGCCGCCCGGAGCTTCCGAGTCGGGGAGCGGACGCGGGCGCGCTCCAGTCAGGGGCGGGCGGGGGCCGGGGCCGGCGGGGGCCCCGCGGGTCTGCTGCGGACCGGGGGGCGGCGGGGCCGGGGCGCCGCGGCGGCTCCGGGCGGCGGCGAGGGGGCGGCGGGGGCGCCGCCCGGCTGCTGGCGGACGCCGGCGGGGGCCGGGTGGAATCCCCGGGCGGGGCTCCCCCTCCTGGGTGGGGGTGGGGTGCGGTGCCCGAGGGGGAGGGTGGAAGAGGGGTTCCCTGGGCGGCTGAGCGCACGGCGTGTGGGGGCCGGGGCTGGCAGCGGTGCGTGAGGCTGGCGGGGTTCCGGGGTGTCTCCGGCTGCGGCGGGGGTGGCGAGCCGGGGGGGGCGGCGGGCGCCGGCGGACCCCGCTCCTGCGCGGGGTGACGGGGCTGTGCTGAGGCGTCCGCGCCGGCGCTGGCTGAGGGGCCGCGGGGAAGATAAAGGGGGGTTCCTTTTCAAGAGGGGTGTCTTACGAGGGGGATCCCCATTTCCTTGGCGGAAAAATAGGAGCTCACGGCACCCCTTTCCCCTGCTGTTCCCGCTTTCCGGGGACGGCAGCGCCGCGGCGCCTTTGTGGGCTTCCCGGAGGGCGAGCGGCCGTCCTGAGGGGCGGCGGGCGCGCCCCCTCCCTCCGCGCGCGGCTCCTCCCCGCCGCCCGCAGGAAGCGGCCGGGAAATGGCAGCTGTGCGTGTGCGGCTGCGTCTCGTTGTTTTGAAATGTCCATTTTAATCAGATTTGGTTTCATTTTCTGAGGCCTTCTGGGCAGGCTTGGATCCTGCCAGCCATGTGGGGTGAGAGTCCTGTCGTTCTACTTTTTTTTTTTCTTCTGGTGAACTTAATTTGTGGGAAGTAGGCGCCGCAGTTGATTCCTGACCCTGATCCTCCCTGTAGAACATCTCTGTCTCCCGGTCTGGATTTTTTCCCCTTTCTTCCTTGAGCTAGAGGTCATGGAGAAGCAAACTCCGTACCTGCCAGCAGCGCCGCCCTCTGAATACAAGGAGGCAAATTCCCTCAACCTAGAGGCTCTTTTGTGGCCTGGAATGGTTGGGAGTGGGGGGTCCTGCTTAGTATTTTCTTACCTGTGATAGTTTTTGTGGAGCGCCTGAGCTTGGGAGGTGAGGAAAGGTAGAATCTGAGAGGCTGGAAGATTTAACTGAATAGGATTTACGTGTTGAGGTTGGAACTGGTTTGCAGAGTGAAGCTAGTGGACTTGTTGGTCAGGGGTCACGCTGGATTAAGGATAGTCCCGGGGATGTAGGGTCCACCTTCCCGCAGAGCCAACTAATTAGCATATGATTCACTCTTCTGTCTTTTCATTTTCTTTTATTACCCTTGTTTAAGAGTGGTAGGCTCTTCCCCTGTTCTGTGCGAATTTAAATATCCAGATTTTCTCTTAATCCCACTAGATAATTCCAGATTTCCTCACTAGATAATTCCAGAGTTCTATTAGAGCATACTATGATGGACGGTAGGTACTGTGGCCCCAGGCACTGTGTTAGACACTGGATTTAGGTGGAAATAAGTGGGCTGCGGGATTTTATATTTTGAGAGATGGCCTTAGTCACTTGGATTAACTTGAAAACTGCTTAAATCTGCTATTTAAATAATCTGTAAAAAGTCACAAGCTTCCACTTGAATTGCAGACTCCTAGATTAAATATACAGGATAGGAGTAGACATGATTGTGTGACAGCATTAATATCATTGTTATTGTCATTGCTCTTTTCACTGGAGCTGTTGGGTTGATATTCTGGAAAGTGTAAAAACAAATCCCATCTGTTGTAATTGTCCCTTTTCTTGCTCCTCTGCTTGACTGGTTGGTTCCTTTGAATTGCTTTTTGATAGGCTTGATTCAACACTGATTTTAAGTTCCCCTTTCTTCAACCTTTGCTTACCTGAATTGGGACCTGACATAATAAATTGATTTCTCCTGTTAAGAGTTAAAACAGTGAAGAAAGGAGAAAGTAGATAGTTTGATCAGAAAGTTGACTGAAGTTCACCTTTCATGACCTTCTTGTAAAATGACTTTTCCTATTTGAGAAGTGAATTTCTTAAATAGCGACTAATTTTTTTTTTTTTTTTTTTTAAAGCTTCTCCTGAAGGGGGAAAACTTGAGGTATAGAGAGAACTATGTGGATTGACCTTAGAGCCAGTCGCTTATAGCCACTCAGAAATCTAGAATGCCCTGAGAGGCTCATCTTGCCGTCTGGTGGTTCTGGAATCAGGTGTTGCCAAGAGAGAAGCAAGGCTTGTTAGGGTTATTGACTGGCTGCTGTTGGCCTTATCACTTCTGAAGATGTCTGCTGTATTCTCTTACTGCTAAAATAATATGGAAGTTAGTACAATGACTGGTGTGATATTTGAGCTTGTGTGAGATGTGTACAATGAGGCAGTGATACCACAGGTTTTATGTTTTAAGACAATGAATGAAGTATAAAAACTCTTGAGTTATTTTCTGGAGCAAGTAATCTTCCTGATTTGTTTCTTGGGATGTGGATGTCCTCATATGCCTCATACTGTAAGAGCAGTACTTCTCAGCATTGTTGCACATGAATCAGAGGGTCATTGTTTCACCAGTTTGTCTGCATAATTTTGAAATTTATAAAATACCTGTCTTAGAATCTGAGCTCTGGAGAGTGTTCTTAAATTGGTCATTGGCAGTAAAAGTAACATTGTATTACTATGTTACTTAGTGTTTTGACCTCTTAATTATAGAGAATAATTTTTTTAAAGATTTATTTATTTATACAAAAACTGGGGTACAGGTTAGAGGTGCGGGAGGGTGAGAGGATTCACCAGAGACAGAGCGGGGAGCAGAACAGGCAGGCGGACCAAAGACACTGCTGAGGGGAGCAGTGGGCAGGGCAGGAGATGTCTGCTGCACCATATGGGTTTCTCCCTGGCTGGCCGAGAATCGAACCCATGCTGTAGAGGCTGCGGACAGCTTCACAGCACGGTGCTCAACCCACTGCGCCACCAGGGAGGCCCTATAGAGAATTATTAAGGGGGCCATTTTATAGACCAAAAAGATAATATAACCTTACCATACATCATGTTCACTTGCAGGTTTTTTTGGGAATAGGGATATTTTCTTAAAGGAAAGAGTGGAGTTGAGTCAAATTTTTAGAAACAGCTGAAAGAGGGAAATAACTTAGTTAAAACCTCTGCAGTGTGGCTTTTAGTGTCCTGCAATTTCAGAGGCATTTCCAGCCCTCACAGTGAAGTGACTGGAGACATACATATGGCGGAAAACCTAGCGTACAATGTTGTGGTTCATTTATCCAGTCAGTCAGTATTTTAAAACTTGTGTGCCTTGCATGACCTGTTTGTTTGTTCGTTTGTTTTTTTATAGATTTATTTATTTATTTATACAAGCATTGGGTACAGTCAGAAGCGCAGGAGGGTGAGAGAATTCACCAGAGTCAGAGCGGAGAGCAGAACAGGCAGACTGATGAAATACACTGCTGAGGGGAGCAGCGGGTGGCAGGAGAGGTCTGCACACCATGTGGAACCCTTGCCCGGCAGCCGGGGATTGAACCAGCGCTGCAGAGGCTGCGGGCAGCTTCACAACCCAGCGCTCAACCGCTTCGCCACCGGGGAGGCCCTCCTGTTTGTTTGGTTTTTTTTTTTTAAGATTTATTTATTCATACAAGAGCTGGGGTATGGGCCAGAGGTGTTGGGGGGGTGGTGAGAGGAGTCACCAGAGACAGAGTGGGGAGCAGAACAGGTGGATTGACTGAAATCCACTGCTGAGGGGAGCAGCAGGTGAGACAGGAGAGGTCTGCTGCACCATGTGGGTTGCTCCCTGGCCAGCCCTCGGGAATCGAACTCAAGCTGCAGAGGCTGCGGAGGGTGCCTCGCGCTTCATGGGTTGCGTCTTAACCCCCGCGCCACCAGGGAGGCCCTTGAATGTCCTCTTAAATCAAGCACAGAACCTTTTGCTTATTTTAAGTTTAAATTTATTGTCTTTTTATGTTCTCAATATTTACGTGTTTCTAGATCTCATTTTTTTCCAGGGGACAGCTATCTAAAACATACCAAGATTTGGGACCTTTCTTCTTTCTAGACATTGTTATCTCTATGAAGAATGAAGCTAGACTTTTGGTTCTCTGAGTATGTATAGCAGAAGCAAAAACTACAGCCTTTGGTTCTCCCCGGTGGCGCAGCGGTTGAGCGCTGGGTTGCGAGGCTGCCCGCAGCCCCTGCAGAGCTGGTTCGATCCCTGGCCACTGGCAAGG